CCCCAAAACCCCAAAACCCCAAAACCCCAAAACCCCAAAACCCCAAAACCCCGATTTGGATGGGAAAAATTGAGATATAATAATATGCAAAGGAGTAAGAAAGTTGTGTGCTTGTTGGGCAGTACTGGGTTCTTGGGCACGACAATAGTGAAGAGATGGCATAAAAGTCCGAGCTTTAGAGCGAAATATGAAATTAGAGCGATTTATAGAGGAGAAAAAAGCAATTGGCCTAAGGTATTTAATAGAGTATTCACTGAGGAGAGAAAAAGTATGGAAGAAGATGAAGAAGAGAGTCTTATTAATACGCAGAGTTACAAAGGAGATCTAGACGTAATTTTTATACTGATATTTAGAGATTCGCTGAATTCTGTAAACCTATATCCGATATAAATAACAAAGATGATCTCAAAAGGGTAATCCAAGGTAGCAACTTTGTTATCCATTGTGCAGGGTCATATCCTGAGAAATGCGAAGAAGATAAAGATGAGCTAGAGAGAACAAACGTTCAAGGTCTCGAAACAGTGCTAGAAGTGTGACTTGAAATTAATGAAGAAAGCGGAGCCCCTGCTGTTCCAAGAATAGAAAGACTCATCTATACCTCTGATTTATCTACTATTGTGGATTATGATAATTTTGAATCATTTACAGAAGAATCTCCTCTAATAGATCTAAGTATGTTTTTCTGGAAATTTTGCTACCTTTAGAACCAGTTGTTTTATTTGCAAGACAACAATGTTTACCAATGTTGACCTTCTTCATAATTAATGCATATAGATTCTAAACTAATTACCGAATATACCAGATCTAAGATCAGATGTGAGAAGCTATTAGAGCATATTGGAGATGAAGAGAAAGCAGAGGCATTGCCAGTTGTGATCCTTAGGCCTGCTAATATGATTGGAAGGTTTATAGGTAATGTTTGTGGAGTTAGTTTAAATAGTTGAGAAGAAGTTCACATCAGGAGAGTTTATGAAGAAAATGCTGTATGGCATGTTCCCAGGTGTTCCAGATATAGAAATACACCTAGTTCATGTAGATCATGTGGCAGATGCTCATCTCTGAGCCCTGGACTCTCGTAAGGTTCCAGCTAATAGAGCATACTGTCTTTACGATGGCAAGATCAAGAGTGATTATATTTAGCGAGTATGCCAAAAGTTGAGATTGGCAAGAAAATAAAAGAAAGTAAGAAATATGAGGGGTTTCATCCCTCGTGTCTCAGCATAAGCAAGTTAACATGCAGACTGGCTTCCATTTTTGTACCAGAAGCTAAAGTAATTCTGAAGAAATGGGGGAAAAAGCTAGAACCTAATTTTGCTGTATCAGACAGAGTATTTGCAAGCTGCAAAGTGTATTTTATGGAATTAACTTCTTCTAGGGATTCTGAAAGAGCAATCATTCAGATGTGCGATGATATAATAGAGTCAAATTAATTCAACCTATGTTGTGAGAAAAGGGGTTTTGGGGTTTTGGGGTTTTGGGGTTTTGGGG